AGCACACTATATAATTTTTATAGCATTTTTCTTAACATCTTAAAAATTAAACTCTACTAGATATTTTGCTAAACACAATTTCTTTAATATTTATATGATTATAAATTTTTTATTTATATTTGAGGAGTAAAAATAGAGATGTTACAATGACTTAATGTCATTCACGATATGATAATTTTAGAAATTCATGGTAATTTAATTGGTTAATCCAATTGTCTAATGTTGTGTTAGACATTAACAATTCAATTTCAATTGATTATTTAATTTTTAATGGAGCTAGTGTTGTTGGAATAAGGATTGCATAATTTAAATTTGGCTATTAGAACTTGGCTGAGGAGAGAGGATGGGATGGATATTTATTTATTTATTAAATAAATAGAACTTAGCTTGATAAAAGCCAAGTTTTTTGTCTAACAAAAAATATTTTGATTGAGGAGAGAGAGGATGAGATAGATATTTAATTTTTTTAAATTAAATAGAACTTGACTTCATATATCTTTGACAAAATTTTTTTTTAAAACTCAGTGTTAATTAGATAGAATTTTAATTTGTAGCACCTAGGTAAATATTGTTAAAAATATAGTATTGTGGTAAATATTTTTTTTTTTATAGCATGAAGGTCAATTTGCCCTAAAAATATCTCACATTTTCTAACATTCAACTCTTTAAAAAATCTTTTATATTTTTTAATGGAGAAAGTATATGTTTCGTCATTATAATACATATCCTAGTTAAATTAGGCAAGAATTGATAAATTTTACTATTACTATTGCAATACTTATCCTACATATCCTTCCTATGTTATTACTCCATGCTATTTTCAACCCCAAGCTATTTCAAGGAGCTAGTGGTGAGTACGAAATTTGTTAATTTTAGAAAGGTGAGTAGGGTTAATTATTTCAATAATTTATTGTGGGTTTATTTTATGAATGAGGGGTTACATAAATGCCTATTTTTTGCCAACCCATTCGAAGAGGTGGAATTTTATCCCAAAAAAAGAAAAGAGCTGGATTTGCCCTGGCATGTGTTGGAAGGTCCTATGATAATGTAAATCCAAATATTTTCCTAATAATAAACAAAATTAAAAGGGGAATTCTAATTCATGCGTGCTTGGTGTCATGGATTTGTGAGTTCAATGAACATTGATTTTACCAAAGTGTATTAAATCTAATTTCATTGCACCTAGGCTTTTATGGAATTGTTATGGGTCCTTCGGGATTAAAATTATATTTTACCATGAATGATCTAATAATTACTTGGTCATTTATGGCCTTTTTTCCGATTATTCTTTTTTTTCCCTAATTGTTATGTTTTTTTATTAAATTAAAATTATATATTCTGTACTGTGTATGTATTTGCATACTGTGGTGGATAAAATATTAGCATTAATAACTAAGAAAGTTCGATACAGTTAGCAAATATTTATATCATTATTAGGTTTTTTAAACATACGCTTCTAATTTTATTTATAAGTCACTTTTAGCATGTTTCACTAAAATTCAAAAAAATCTTGAATATCATTAACTATATCTAAACATTTAATAAATTTTTATCTTTATCTCTAATAAATATTTTTAAGTCTTATTATATATATATTTTTATTCAAAACATTTAATAAGGACAAAAATATAAAAAGGAGTATTGAAAATTGGTAAGTGTCATATAAATAGGATTAAATTTTCTCTCTCTATCCTATAAATTGGACCAGAGGAGTATATTGGTTTAAAGATGAATGACTAAAATTATAATCAAAACATAATTAAATTGTTCATAAATAAAATATTTTATTAAACCAGTTAAGATAAGAGGTCAGTGGTTTACTGATCCAACTATAGCTACATTTATCTAATTTTAAATACTACACTTAATGGACACAAAAAACAAGGTATTAGTGATGTTGAGCCTGCTTTTGTTTAAAAGATGGGATACTTTGTTTATGTTAAAAAAAAATTCATCAATATCCATAACTAAAATTCACCTTGTAATTATTGAAAAAATATAATTTTAAATACTCACACTTTACTTAAATTTTACTTTAAATTCTTAATTTTTTTTGTTTCAAGTTTCTATACATTTTTTGTGTGTTTTAGGTTCTTTATGAACTGTATTATAGGAACTTAAAATATAAAAAAAGTATAAAAATTTGAAACACTGAAAAAAGTATAAAAATTTATAACAAAACTTGAACAAAATTTAAGAACCCAAAATCATATTTTTCTCTTACCAAAAGTTTGATTTAATTGGTAACAGAGTTTTACAAGATTATTATCTTAACTAAAAGTTTTGAGGTTGAGCTCGAAGAATGTAGCAACACTGGTCATAGAATTTTTACTCTGAAAAGATTGTAGGAAGAATTACATATGACTCTCATATAAAAAAAATTAATTATTATAAAATTTATTAATAATTAAATTAAGGTCATTGATAATTAATCTTAGTTTAATTATCAATAAATTTTATAATAATTAATTTTTTTATGTAAGATTTTAACGTATCTCTTAAGATTTTATCCCAGCTTGAATCAAACAAGTTCGAGTCTTTTAAATTCTCTCAGCTTAGCATGAAACATGCCTAGAACACTGGAGGCTCCATTCCCAAAAAAAAAAAAAAAAATTCAACTCACGTAACGATGGGGCCAACGTTGTAGTTAAACGAACTTTATCGCCCACGTGGGTGAAATAAAAAAACTTCTTTTTTTTTTTTTTTTGAGCAAGGGTGAAAGAAAAAAACTTTGTTGCGCGCTTTCTTGCAACCTTTCCGTACTAACAACTATCAAAGATATCACATCAACAAATCAATTCAATATCATCAGTGCTTTTAAACCTTGACGTTAAGTCCAGGTCAAAAAATAAAAAATAAAACCTTGTCGTTAAGGGTTTTGATGAGTTCTGGACTCTGGCGGTTAATTTTGTTTGACATATTCTTATTTATACAAAAAAAAAAACCAAACAAAAAAATCGTGATATATAAATTTAAAACTCAAAAATAAAAATGAATGAGCTTGACCTATATAAACTCAATTCTTATAAGTTTAGGCTCTTAAATTTGATTTTTAAAAAAAAATGAGTGATTTTTGAAATTCAATTCTTATTCAAAGACTTAATGTTGAGCCCATAAATCCATTTTTTTTAAAATTTTTAAAAAAATTAATATAATAGTTTATAGCATTATAAATTGAAATTTCTTCAAATTCAAAATAAATAAATATTTAATAAATTCAGAATCATGATCAAATCACAACACGATATTATCATTTTGCTCTCAATATCCAATCCAATCTTGTTCATCAACACAGTATATTATCCTGTATCATTCTTAAAATCCACTATGCATTAGATATTACCACCTTCCAAACCAAGAAATGCCACACACTAAGAAGCATAAAGTAGAAAAAGGGGCAAAAATCAAACACCTTTCCTAGTGCTAGCAACCTCAGTTCAGCATCAATGGAACCCATCTTCTTGCACCAATGATGCTAAGCATGAGAACAAAAGCAAGAACATTGTCAAGGATGATGAGTACTAGGGATGTTGACAACGAAGGTAGAGGCAAGAACACCATTAGGGACGCCGAGAATGAAAGCAAAAGGAAGAATGAAGTTCGAAGGAGAAAGATGCAATTGGAGAGAGCATTGTGATTGAGCAACAAGTATCATAAGGGAGGATATGCCAAGAATTAGAAATTAGAGACCGTGAGTGAGGGGCAAGAGCATCATGAGTCCCCTATCGAGATTGAGAGCTGATAGGGAGTAGAGGCTAAGATTGTGAGGATGGTGAGAGGTCAAGATCTTGAGGAGCGATGAATGGCCAAGAGGGAGAGCATATCTATAGAGTCAAGTCTCAAGTGTGTCTCAATGTAGGCTTAAGGTTTTCTTCAAGTGCCAAAGCCAAACTGTGTGCTTTGAAATGGGGAGGGAAAAAAAAGAAAATTGAGCTTGGAGGGTCTCAAGATGAATAGGACTAGCTTTAAAACCTGATTTTTTTAAAAAATAATCAATTTTTGAAGCTAAATAAAAAAATAAATTTAAACGAGTAGCTCTTCAAGTTTAATTTTTATTCTTGACTTCATATAGAGTAATCTAATAATAGATAAATGAATAATAATAAAAATTAACAAGTTGTTTATAAAAAAATACAAGTCAAAGATAAATAGTTTAATTTTTTTTTTCAAGATACAATAACTATAATGTATATATACACTCCATCCATTTCAAACTTTTGTTCTGTTTTTAAAAAAGCCCCTTTAGAATTTTAATTAAAAAAAACTATGTTTACACTTTGTCCTTTCACTATTAAAAAAAAAATACTGGACAGTTATTTAAAGTTATGATGAAAGATTACAGGCGATCATGAAGCTGTCATATATTTACAAAATAAATATTGGACAATTAAATGAGCTGTTTGATATTTGAAACCCAATATTAGAAGGTTCTTTGAACTTATTCAATGAGCTATCGGAATACGTGACCTAAAATGAGGGATGTTTGGACAGCAATGATGATAACCATATAATACATAGCTTATATTGTTTAATCATCTAATATGTAATTAAAATTAAAAATATTAAAATTATGAACGCATATTAGACAATTTTTAAGTTAACAGTCCAATATATATCCGATTATAACTATTCAATATTCTTCTCCATCTGTGCTTATCAGACAATATGCAATTATGCTTATAACTGTCCAATAAAAGAAGTCCAATATGCCTTTTTTTAATTGTGTTTGCTAATAAAAAAAATTAATGATAGGTGCAGCATGAATCTTCTCCTAACAATAAGTAAATAAATATGTAATTTAAGTCAAATACAAAATAAAAAAGTAAGAATATTTTAATAGAATATTATTAGCATCTTTCTTAGACGAATAAATATTAAATATTACAATTAAAACATAAAAAATAATAAAATGAAAATTCACCAACCAAGCATGCCTATCATTATTCTATTATTATTATTTTAAAAACCATATGGGAGAACCGAAGAAGTCCATGAAATGTACCATGAGCGTACCTCAAAATTTACTGCTTTCCCTCCTTCCTTAGCATTCACGGAGCGACTTCTCAATCCTTATTTCTGAGTTTTTCACGTCCTTCGGAAATGGTCGCACTCAAAGCCAAAACTTTATTGAATCCTTAACGGCCTCTTCAAAATTCACGCCCAATTCAACTCTCCTCTTCCTCTTCCATCTCTTTACCTTCACTCATGCCTACCCCTTCTTCTGATTCTCCCAAATCCGACCCACAGACAGCGACCCCGATTACTGGGCTCACTTCTTCTTCCCCGACTCCGAGTCCCCGTGGCGCGCCTGAATTCGATTTCGATTTCGATAGATTACTGGCCACAGAATCGCCCTCTTTATTCAATGATACTTGGTTCTCAGTGGGTAGAGAAATTGCTGCAACGTCTGATGCTCCTACTATGGGTGGATTGGACGATCAAGGAATGGGTTTAAATTCGGGTGCCACTGGGTCTAAAGTTTTGGAAACTGATGAAAAGGTTGAGAAAGGGGTCATTTTGAAGGGACCCAACTCGGGAATATGTGAGAATGTGTCATTTACGGGTCAAGACCGATCAAGAACAGATTCGCCGTGGTCTGGGTCGAAGGAAAAAGCAGTCTTGTCTGATTGTCCGGAACGTAAGGGAGGTGACGGGCCCAAACGCTTCCTGAATTTGCAATCAGACAAGAATTTACTCAAGAGAGCATTGGATTCTTTGAATCATGAAGACGAGACTGGGAAGGGTTGGCCTGGCGAAGAGGGTAGTAGTGCTAAACGCATTAGAAAAGAATGTAGAGGAAATGAAGAATGCGAGAAGGATGAATCACTATCCATTGAAATATTGAATTTGTTCTTCGAATATGAAAAACAAGATACTACTAGTTATACAGTAAAAAAAGAATTTATTAACTCGGTTGATGTGTTACAGTTGGATTCTGACGAGGCTGATGAAAGTGGCGTGAAAGAGGTGGGTGCTAGTGGTAACAACGAAAAGGACATTGTTACTGCAAATATGAATGAAGGACCCAATTGGGTTGATAATGATGATGGTGGTCAGAGGAGATTCAGCAGAGAAGAGAAAGGGAAGGGAGCACTGGACAATGGCGATTTATTCCCCTTCAAGTTTGAATTTGATTTAGGATTGGAACCCGAATTGTTCAATTTCATTGATAACGAAAATTCAGATGCCTCCCATTCAGCTTATAATCATGTAGTCTTACGAGATCAAGAAAAATGGAGAAATGCTAACAAAGCAAGAAGAGCTTTAAGGTCAGAACTCATGGAAGATTTCCGGCATATAGCAAAGACACATGCTTCTCGCTTTGCTCATTATACACCAGCTCAAGAAGATAGTCGTGCTTCTCCCGGGGCAATTCAAATTGAAGAATGGTCTGGTCCTTTCTCCACAGCCATGAAAACAATTAGAAACCGAGAAACGAAAAGTGGGCAAATGGGCTGCAAGTCTTCAGAAAGTTTACCTGCATCCATTAATTGGGTTCCCAGGAGTAATCAAGAGCAAGTATGTGCAAGAGTCTCGGCCCCCTCGCTGCTAGAGCTATCCCTTGATTTACTTGCCAAGAATGCTGATGCAATTGTTTCCCTTGAAAACGTCCCTGATGCTCTGAAGCACAAACTTTGTCACTTGCTCTGCGATTCTCGAAAAATGAACTTTCAGCTTCTTGAACTTCTTCTTACTGGAACCCCCACAGAGATTAGGCTAACAGATTGCTCTTGGATGACTGAGGAACAGTTTGTAACAGCTTTTCAATCTTGTGACACTACTAATATGGTGGTATGTTCCTTGAATTGCTTGATACTCAAACTTTCAGTATTTTGGATAGTGTGCAATTTCCTCATGTTTCAGTACGTTCTCTAAGTATGATTTTTAATTCACATCATAGAATAACTGAGATATATTAATGAACATGAAAATATCAAAGTGATGTTTGATCTGTGTTGGAAAGACGTTGGAGGCATTTGCTGTCACCCCCCTCCCAAAATATATATATATATATATATATAGGATTGCCTTTTGTGTTATGATGGGTGCAAAAAAGGCTTATAAGAGCTTGGTTACCAATTTCGTTTTGGCTTGGCATAGGCATTTGGTGTGATTGAACTTAACTCTTATTGTCCTTCTGCAGCTGCATTTTGGATAATCTCTCAAGTGGTTGATATACTAAAATACTCTTAGCATATTCAGTTTTATTCTCATTAATCTGTTTTATGGGTGAGCTACAGTTTTTGAGAACAGTAGGACAATCTTATTGCCCTTTAAATGATCTGGTTTCTGGTCAGCATTGGATGACTCCCTTTCCATTAGCGTTCATGTTCACTATACTAAAAACTTGACCAAACTCTAACTAAATACTTGACTCAACTCATCAGATATCTCTGAGTGCCACCTTTTCATTTGAATTGGAAGCAAACCTGAAACTAATTTATTCATTCATCTGTGGAATAGGTATTGCAACTTGATCAGTGTGGGCGCTGTATGTCAGATCATGTGATACTTGATACTTTAGCTCGATCGCCGAGGCAGTTACCTAGATTAACTAGCCTATCCCTCAGTGGTGCATGCCGTGTTTCAGACAGGGGGTTGCGTGGTCTAGTTTTGTCTGTTCCAGAACTTAGATCAATAAATCTTAGCCAATGCTCCCTTCTCACATCTGCCAGTATACATGCTTTGGCTGAGTCATTTTCATTAGGATCACTTCTGAAAGAGCTGTATCTTGATGATTGTCAAAGCATTGATGCTGCACTGATTGGGCCAGAACTGCAGAGCCTTGATCATTTAGAAGTCTTGTCAGTGGCAGGCATCCAGACTGTTTCTGATGAATTTGTCAATGATTTCGTTGTTGCGCGCGGTCATAATTTAAAGGAACTTGTTTTGCGGGATTGCGAGTAAGTAACCATTGTGTTAAATTTGAATGTCTCCTTAGGTTGTGATATTGTCAGAAGTTGTTTGTGTCTTAAATGTTAATTTGTATTTCTTGATGCGTAGAAAATTGACTGACTCATCAGTTAAAATTATTGCTGAATTCTGTCCTGGATTATGCTCACTTGATCTTATGAACTTGTGCAAATTGACGGATTCATCCATTGGATATCTTGCAAATGGGTGCCCGGCACTTCATACACTGAAACTCTGCCGCAATCCATTCAGGTGTTTTCTCTCTCCTCTCTGTACCCTGCTGTGTTTCATCATCATCATGCATTTGCTAGGCGTCCTTTGTTAATCTGACATTTTAATTTTGGTCATGCACTCATTTATGCTTTGCCATTCTTGCCTGTCACCAATTTGTTCATTTCCAGAATTGATTCGGCAGAATTTCTAACTTGTTAAAGTTTTAGGATAGTTTGCTTTGCTTCCATGTACATGTACTGTTAGAAATGTCTGAGTGGCCTTTTAGCTTTCCAAGTTTCCAGCTTTTGGAAGGGTGAGAGCATGTTTTCCAATGGATCTGAATCTTTACTTGTAGCAATAAACACACATTTCCTAAGTACTCAGGAAATTGAGATCATCTTGTATTGATCTTTTGCTTTCCCTTTTCTTTTCTTTTTTTTTTAAAAGGGCAAAAAGTACATTTTATTATCATGTAATTTCCATGCCTCCAAACCGTTGAACAACACATTGAACTTGTGTCGTATCTCAGTGATGAAGCAATAGCCGCTTTTCTGGAGACAAGTGGAGTGCACTTGGAAGAACTTTCACTCAATAATGTGAAGAAGGTACGTTGTTTCTCTCTCTCTGACTCTAAGACTCTCTTTTCGTTGGTAAGGCTGCTTTGAGGTAATTGGTAAACGGATTATGTTTATTAATCATCATCACTATTTATAAAAATCACACTATTCATGGGTCATGGACATTACTCCCTCCTGGTCTTGCATACAAGTTACCTTCTACAAAAAATTGGTGGTTTTTTTTTTCTTTTTACAAGTCACTTCATTCTTCTTTACTTTCTTCCATTTTTATCTTTTCAGACTTTTTATTAGTAGAGTAATAAGTTAGATATGAGAGAGAAAGTGTTTTAAAAGATCATGCATTTAATAAAAATAAACTAGAAAATTTCTAACATTTTCAAGCAACATCAATAATTTAATTACTCTCATGATTCCAATAAGACAATTAAAAGTGCTTTAGATATACTTTCCCCTGTCCTTAATATAGGGTGAACTTAAACGTATCTATTAGGAAATGGTATTGTATTCTTAAGATTGTTAAAAAAATGTAACTTTTCAATATTGTCATTCTTTTCTATCAATAGCTTTAATAACTTGTCTAAGAAGTCAAACGATAATGTGTAAACATTGGATAAAATTAGAAAAAATATTAATTACTTTAACTTTATCTTATATTAAAAATAAAAAATTATCAAAAATTATCTTATATTAAGAATTGGATGGAGAATATATATAAAAGACATACAATAATTTGTTATTTTAATATTTTTCAAAATATTTACTGGGCTCCAGCCTTGTTTTCTAAGTACACGTTTCAGATGGATTTAATAGGATTTACTATTTTGATGTTTGAGAAAATTTGGAGTCATTCTATTTCTTTCTTCCGTGCCACGCAGAGAGAGAAGATATCTAGGGCAATGTGTGTATGGTGGGGTCAGAGTTTCGTACTTTTGGTCTTTATTCTGCACACACACTCTCTCAATTGTTCGATTTTTTAATTCACCTTTCTTAAAAATGAATTCACAAAACGAGGAAGTGGATTGACGAGTGATCTTGTTAAATTGGTCTACGTATAATTATACATGTATACATCCACCAGGTTGGCCATCACACAGCCTTGTCACTTGCAAGCCGTGCAAAAAAATTGCATACTCTGGATCTGTCATGGTGCCGAAATTTCACAGATGATTATTTGGGCTTCATTGTCGATAGCTGCTTGTCTCTGAGGTTGCTTAAACTTTTTGGATGCACCCAGGTATCTTTTCATTCATTTAAATTAGTTATTTGATCAAAATCTATTTGGTCATGGAAAGAAAAATATGGAGCAGTTGCTTTACATGTTACAGATTATTTTGCAGATAACAGAAGTTTTTCTGTGTGGCCACTCTAATCGGGAGGTTAAGATCATTGGTTGCAGGCTGTCACCTTTATTACGACATGTCAAAGTGCCACATCCTGAACGGCAGGGTGCTTTGCGTTATTCTCCAGCCACTTAGGATCGCAGACAAAATTTGATCAGATATAGGATTTGGCATCATTAGATTATGTTATTTTCCAGAACTAGAAACTTGAACTAGCACAGTCAAAAACTCTTCATTAACGTGGCCCTAACTGAATGGTTCTGTGTAGGTGGTCCTTTTTGGTCCTTCCCCTTTGTAAATGCTTCTACATCAAGTGATTCACTGTATTATTCTCATTTGTAGGAGTAGATTTTGCCTTTTAGGCTTTTACTACAAGCATTTTATTTTGTATCATAATCTGCCCAGTGATTGTTCATATTCAGCATACACACCAGAAAGAAACGAGATATAAAAAGGAACATGCAGAAACCGGAGGCAAGCACCAGTGTTCTGATTATTATCATTGGGGGTGACACTGATGGCTTTCATCAACCTCTGAAAGCATACAATGTTTGGTCTTTCTGAAACTTGATTCATTAATAGACTGACAAACCATTTTCCTTTACAATGGAGAAAAATAAAATGAAAAGCTAATTACAGCACAATCTAGAACGTTATACCTCCAATAATCGTGGAGAGACGGAAGCTAAGGCCATTTGGAACTTTACGGTTGTTCAGAAACAAAATAATGCATAGTATTTATGTCCGCAAACGAAGCAAGAATAGTTGCTCCTGCAACAAGCGAGAGTTTGCCATCTCAACCATCTGAAAAGCGAACAAAGCTGCATTACTGCTTTTTGTATAAAAGGAAAACTCTTCAAGAGATCAATGCAGGAAGTAGAGAAGATTGTGTAGAGCATTTGAGCTTACCTCAAAGCCTATCTTTTGGTACAGCATCTGTGCAGTTGTGTTTTTTCTGTCCACGTGAACGAATACTTGTTCCACACCTGCTCAATGGATCATGGAATATACGGTAAGTTCCCTTTCATGATTCACAGATATGTCATCAGCTAGTTGTGTGTTTAAAGGAGTCAACTCTCTAACTTCGGAACTACCATTAGATTTTGCTGATTCAACAGCATAGGACAACATGTTGCTAGCAATACCCTGACGACGAGCTGATTTGGCAACACACACGTTTGCAACGTAGCCATATCTGCTTGGTGCTGTTCTGTTGATGCTGGAAAATCGAGGAGCCTTAGCCCGTTCCTGCACAAATGAATACAATTAAGATGCTTGATACATAGTCATTTCCCCTTTCACGGTACATGGGATACAAGGATATAAAAATTGGTATTTAAAAGAGTATGTTTGCATGAATTGGACATTATCATTAAAAGGAAACACGTGGTTCTTTCTATAAAAGATAATAGAGCCAAAATCAAAGTGATGCAAGATTCTCCAAATTTTTGAAAAGTGTGAGATATCACCCTGGTGTTATCTTATAATAGCAGTGTACACCATAAGCATTTTGAATGTCGTCCGAGATACCAAAATTAAGATAATGGCATACCAAATGCCTGAGGGCATCAAAATCAGTCTAGTCAAAGGTCAGTAGATGTAGCTGTATCTTAGAAAAGGCGTTATACCCCAGGAAAAGTCTCTCCTTGCAGCAAATATCGGATATTCAAATCAAGCGTTCCTACAACACTCTTCAATATTGGGCGTTTTACATTCTTCTGCTCCTTCTTCACCTGATAAACTTGACTCCAAACAACATAAGGTTAAACACAAACATACAAGGCTAATCATTATTTTTCATTAAATCAGCGCAATTTTAGTATATTTGCAGCCTGTAATTTTAAACCGAGTCAGAAGATGTGAGAATTTTTACCGCAATGATGCAGGTGCATTTCTGCTCATTTTGCATTTGGCACCGCTTCTTTAGAGCATTAAATTCCTAAGGTAATAGAAAGCCCTCTTCAGAAATTCATGAAAGACAGTCCATTGTACACAGTTTATGTCCAGTGAACAAATGAATTAGCACAAACTCCTACCTGGTTTGCAAATCTCATTTTGTAATTATGAATGTATCTGAAGAAAAAGCAAAGCAAGATTCAGTGCATCCAACTTTTCACTGTAATTCAAAGCAAAGCTTGACTTTATATAATAACCATCTTGATTTTAGTTGGTTGTGAGCTTTTAGAAAAGCAAAACAAAGTGTTCTCTGAACTCGTCATTGTTCTTTTCACGACGCAAAGGTGTTAACAATCCTATTAATAAATGAAACCTGAAAGTGGAAACCAAGGACGCTTATGAAAGGATAATTATAATATACCGGACGTCATGGTGTGCAAGTGTTGGATTCTCCCAGTGACTTTCTGCCCTTAGCCAGGCTGCTGTCTGCCATAGCATTTAAAAAAAAAAAATCGCATAAATAAATTAACAAGTTTTATATGGAACCAAGCAAAAACTCCATCAAGCTGGATAGTATTCACGCCTTTTACAACGTAGTTTTAGTTTCTATTCAATCAATGACATACCCAATACTCTTCATCAAGCACGGCTTCTCGAGCAACAAATTGGCCAAACTCAAGTATATTATCACCGACCAATTCATGATCGGACGGTTGCAATCGATCGAAACGGAGATCGCCAGACCTTAGAGTTTCCCCCTTATGGGTAGGTGGCATTGAAACTGAATGGTCTTCCATGGTATTCTTCATTCCACTGGAGAAGTTTTTAGAATCCCTCATTGTCCTGTGGATGTTACAGAGAGAAAAGAAACCATCACTGTTGAGCTTCAACAAACACAGAATAACGGAAAATTCAAGGAAACAGAAAATCGAAACTCACATAGTCCATGAAGCAGCAATACTCGGGCAATTGTGACCAATCGGACGGCCATTAAAGAAGAAGCCTTGGAAATTGAATCTTTGAATTGAAGTTGTGTACATAGGAGGCATGCTTCCGGATTCAAGGGTTTAAGGTACGAAAAAAGGAAAGCTAATGCTATTTTGTTTGAAAACCTCGAATAGAAGGAATGAGTCTACTTGTGGATCGAAATCTTGGTGCAGTATTGATACGGCGGCCAGGTGAATCGAAATCAAAAGGCAGAGAAAACAGAATACAGAAAGCATGTGCTCCCAATCCAAATCAACAGAAGAAGAGTAGCGATGGATGCTTCATTGGTGAGAGAAGGGAAAGAGACTTGACGTAAACGGAAGGGTGTGAGTGTGACGGGTGAGGGGATAATGGATTGATGGATAAAATACAGATCCCCTTAATCTAATCGATCGGCATGGGGCATATGGGTGATTTTTCACAGCCAACTCTTTTTATTTCTTTATTTTTAAGTTGGTCCCTCCTCCGGTTTTCTTAGAATGGCGAAAAATTGAGTTTGAGTTCATAGCATAGCATGGAAATTCAGGTCCAATTACCCGATAAAGTATTAAATTAGTGTATTAACTGACCTAATAAATTAGGTCAGGATGCTTGTTAGAAGGTCAAGTCAAAAGTTCTTTAATTTATGAAATATTTGCAGTGGTGGCGGGGGGATTGGCAAGAATCACGGCCCTTCTAATATTTTAATTTTTTTAAAATAAAATATAAAGATTATATATTTTTAGTTTTTTCAAATTAACACATTATAGAAATTATAAAATAGTAAATGAAATCCTTGTTTTAATTTTATATGTAATATTTTACATATATATAGAGTAATTATTTCAGTAATTTAAATATACAATTGTCATAGGATTTACTTATTTTCAACAAGATAATACTATACATGCTCTTAAAATACTGATGTCATTTTATTTTGTTTTCATTTTATATTTAATGAGAGAAATTGTAAAAATTATTATTAACAAATTTTGTTAGGCATCGCAACAAAAATATCAAGATATGTTGAATGTTATGTGTTTGATATCTATCATAAAATTATTAATTCAAAAGTTAGAAATTTGGTGAAAATGTTTTTCTAAAAAAATTACTTTTTTTAAATATTCAAGTTATTAAAATTTATGATATGAATAATTTTTACTTTAATATAATTCGATCTCATTGACATAAAGATTTTATAAAAATTAAGCATTGTTAATATGTTGATATATATTTGCTTACTACAATGATAAATTGAAAGAATTAAATAATAAATTTAATTTAATAAGCAAGTAATGTATCTTATTATATTGAGAACAAAACTTTAAATTTTAATAATGTATTTAAATCATTTAATGCTTATAGGGATAATAAAATTTTTATCAATTTAATAATAATTTATATTAAGAAGAAAATTTCTAAACCATTAATCATAAACCTAATAACTAATGATTTTTATACCATAAAAAATCAATAAATAAAACTTAATATATATATATATATACACATATATTGCTATACATGTGTAAAATTGAATATAAATATATATGTTAAAATATTTAAATTATGTCAATGATATATATATATATATATATATAACTTTTCTTTAATTATCACATATATTTTATCATATTAGCTCCTTTAATAAAAATTATTAGCTCCGCTCTTGAATACTTGATCATGGTTTCATTATAGTTTTGATCATTAACTTTTAAACTAATACTTTAACTAATTTAAATTAGTAAGAACAATCTCTTACTAATTGATTCAGGTGTTCAATGATTTTAGAGGTGTCATGTTAAGGTAGGAAAAGTTAACAAAGTTTGCAATAATTTAAATCTAAGTCAGGTTAGAACTATAAAGAGCAATGAAATTTTTTTACCAAATATATAACAAGGCCATACAACTGGGATGGTTTCGTTGGTTATATTTCTTCTTAAATGTTAATTTTTGAAAAAATTACACTTAAATCTTATACAAAGACACTTATCAAGTTTTAAATTTTATGCATTTATAACTTAATAAGGGGTAGTTATAACTGAATAATGAATATTTATAATTTATTATTGTAAGTTATTATTTTTTTTATAAGTTGTAAATATCTTTTTGTTAAGTTGTAAATGAACAGAATTTAAAATTTTAAAATATTTTGTGAACTTTATATAATAATAAATGTTTTTATAGGACAAGGAGTAATTTTCTCTTAACTTTAGGTGGACGGGGAATTCCCGTCTTTTTAGTTTTCAAATTTTAACCATGCATGACATGCTTTGCAATTATCAATAGCACAAAGATATTTTCAGACGCAAGTGGAGGGCCTTATACAGCACGTGCGTATTAGTTAGTAAAGTCTAAATGTACTTAGTTAATAAGTAAACTAGTTTGTCACGTTTTTGTCTTTGTATATAAAATATTTTTAAAAATTTATTTTATCCTTAAATATAAAAGATGTCATAATATTTTTAAATAGTTAGATAATTTTTTTATTTAAAAAAAAATATATTAATTGCATATTTTATCTATCATTATTATAATATTAACTGATATTATTAGAGGTAAAAAAAGTTACTGTAATTTTATAGGATTTTATCTAAATAACAAACTTTTTAAACTGTACGAGTAGTTGCATAGTTAGTTAAGTCTTAATTAATGTATGAATTACAGTATTAGTTACGTCAGCACAACTGTATTCTTAGGCTCGTCTATTAGTATCTGACATGAAAGTGAATTTACGCAACAATTCTTTTTTTCACGTTCACTGTACCATTTTCGTGCTAATGTGTTAGGAATAGAGATTTTTGATTTTTCCATGTTGTTACCAATAACGTGACTCATAATGTAATTATGTAAATATATGAAAAATAGATTTAATTAGTAAAAATGGTAACTGAAGCTAGTAGATTGGGCTCAGCAACATTTGAATCTAATATGTAACTTTCAAACTTAAGATATTGTATTACACAAAAAAAAAATGATGAATCATAATATGAATTTTACCCATTTGCATATAGGAATATGGTTTTTGTTAAGATTATTTTGTCTTAACTTCGCCATCATTATCAATGTCATGTTTACTTTGTCTATGAATTGTACCCGTTTGAATCTTGCCATGTTGTTTTCTTTTTTATGGCGAAAAAATAGATCCTAACATGTTGATGACTAAGTTGAAAAAAAAAAAAAAAAAAAGCCTACACTCAAGAATTTTGTACATTGAGCAAATCCTTTTTTTCTCCCTGGCCAACATATAAAATGCTTATTTATGTAAAATAAAAAAATAAAAAATTATATTAAAATTTAAAAAAAATTAATTACTGTAAAATTTATTCAGTTCTCAATATCGCTTAGTTTAATTATTAATGAAATTTATAATAATTAATTTTTTTTAAATGGACCTGTTTGTAATTTTCCAAAACTAAACCGGTCTGAATATAAAAATAATTATTTGGGAACATGGGTTCCCGCAACAAAACCATCAGCACTTGTGGTTTTTGTTCTGCAGCAAAAGCTGTCCCATCATAAATCCTGTTAAAAAAAGTTCAAGACGTCGGCATGACGGCATCCCAATTTTAATTTTTTTTTATGTTCCTCTTGTTTAGTAGAATATGGATTACGGATAGGGTTCAAAGATTCCATTCATAGGATATTTTTCATTAAAAAAATTAGACCATGATGTTTAATAATTCATGAACAAACATCATAATTATGCACCAATTATTAAGGGATAGCATGCCATATGCTTTAATTATCACTAGTGCTGATGTTACGAACAAATTATCCATTAATTTTTAAATCTAATAGCACCATATATCATTAATTTATTTATTATATAAATAATTATATCAATTTTTGAAAATAATGTATAGTTATTTATAGTTAACAAAAGTTAATTTTAATTTTTAATTGATTAAAAAACTTATGTAATTTTTTTGGATTTTTATTTATAATTTTTGAATCATTTATTATAATTTTTTGGTTTTGTTCTATAATTTTGTGATCTTTTTCAATCATTTTTTAGTCAATTAACAATCAATATTAATTTTTATTAATTATAGGAGTCAAATTGCACTGTTTTTTAAAAGTTGAGAAAATAATTTACACAATAAATAAGTTCAAGGTCCATGGTATTATTTAACCTAAATTTCAAATATAATTTGCTCAGTTGCTATATTATTGATCAGTTTATCAAAAATCAATGTTAGGTATATTATAATCTTAATAATAAAGCTATTGCAAAAGATCAAAAATAAGTTTAAAGTCTATGGTGTTACTTGACCTAAACTTTAGGGATAATTTACTTATCAAAAATCAATGCTAGGGTATATTATAATCTTAACAATAAAGCTACTTGCAAAGGACCAAAAAGTCTATAATGTTACTTGACCTAAACTTTAAGGATAATTTTCTTAGTTACTCTATAATTAATCAGCTTATTAAAAATCAATGTAAAGTATATTATAATCTTAATAATAAAGCTACTTGTGAAGGATCAAAAAGGAGTTCAAAGTCTATTGTGTTATTTAACCTAAACTTTAGGGATAATTTGCTCTGTTACCTTATAATTAATTAGCTTATCAAAAATCATTGTTAGGTACATTATAATCTTAATAATAAAGCTACTTTGCAAAAAATCCTAGTACAACAAACATGGATGTGAGAGATACATATTCATAAAGAAGTTGGGGTATTACCCTGACACTGGGGTAAAGATGTTGAGTATCCATGAAAACCTAAAACTATGTTGAAAGAAAAGTGAGAGTGTATGATGACTCTATGGAAACAATTTCCAGATTAAATAATCAAGACCATCCAGCCTTTTGCATAATTGATGCGATCTGAAGTTTGATTTTAAAACATTGGAAAATATCTTATGAACATATTTGTAGAGAAGCAAATATATGAGATGATTAGCTCGCTCGCTGCGTCCAAGTTATAACTGAAAAATGAGAGTTATGACCGAGCCTCCTCTCAATTTTAAGAGTCCAAGCGTCAAACCCAAATTCCTTCACATTAGAACATAAATGTTATTAGAAGTAACAAGCATCGAGTCAGCCATATTTAGCAGCAGCACATGACTGATTTCTCCATTCTCATAACTTTTCGACTCAATTCAAAATAATATATAAGAATTAGAAAAGCCAAATTCGTAGCTTCTCGCACAGTTAAAGGCCACACCCATAGTGACCCTAATAAACGACACCACAAAAACCAACCAACAAAACACCAACATAGGAACATCAACCACTTCTCAGAAAACTGTACACCTCCAGAGCCAACCCACAGACACAGACGTGATCATTAGTCGCAGAGAAGCTAACTAAGACTTTTAAGACTCCTCATGGTTCAAAATCAGTCTTCACCCATTGCCCATACTTGATCTTCAATTTCTCATCAAACTCCTTCTCTTTCACTTCTGCAATCTTGTTGCCACTCGCCATGGATTCCTCCTGCACTCTCGCCATCCTCCTGCTCCTCTTCCTGGCTGACGCCTCCGTCTGAGCTTCCAATTCTTGATACTCCTTCACCAAGCAGCTATGCACTGCACAGCTCAACACCAGAACCACAATCTGCAACATCAAAATGGCCATGAGAGCTCCACATTCCAGCCTCACCAGGAGCTTGGCCTCTTTCGGGTCTCGCGCCGACTTGAAGAGGGAGAGGCTCGCTGCCTCTTTGGTGAACAAGGCAAGGATGCTGAGGACCAGGGAGATCACGGAGGCAAGGAGGAGGGAGGTGTGGGTGATGAAGCAGAAGTGAGTAAGCTGAGAGTAGAAGCCGATGAAGGAGGAGAGGAGGGAGATTGCGGAGACCAGAAGGAAGGCCATGCCGAACGAGGTTGGCGGCATGCGGAGGAGGACGGTGGGGGCGAAGGAGCAGGCCGAGAGAATGAAGAGAGTGAAGTTGAGGCAGGAAAGAAGGAGGCTTGTGAAGGAGCAAGTGCTTCTTCTGAGCTTAGAAGATGATGATGATGATGTCAACAACGACGATGGAGCCATTTGTGTGATGTCTGGGAGTTTTGGTTTTGTTTGAGTTTGAGGTGGAAGATGAAGGAGAATTTGGATTTATAGTTAAGGAATTGAAAATGTAGCCGTTGGGGATGAATGTAACGGCCAAAATAGAGGGCCCACTTTTATCAACTTTAAGGTTTGGACTTTGGAGGATGTTAATTTGTAATTTTTCCCTCCAGTCTTCATTTCAGGCTTTCAAATATTATAATGCCTGGACCTATGGCCCAGAAGCAGCGAGTATTTTGGTGGGGCATACTCAGATACATGCTCCTAGGGCCCAAATGACATTTTGCAAGAATGAGGGTCTCAAATACACGTGTATCAAGTGCAAACTCTAAAAGTGCAGCAACATTACTCATAGCTTGAGTGAAATGGGTCTAGAATATCAGGTGCTCATGCAAAAACTAAAAACGTAACAACATTTGATAATAAAGTTTCCATTTAAAAGAATCTTGACTTTGCTCAATCCATTAGTCGAAATCATTCGCTTTTATACACTGGATGGTTTATTACCGAAAGAAAAAAAAAAATTCTTTGTTTAGATCACGTCAGGTAAAAAATTAGTGAAAACTATAATAATGTTTAATCTGAGGTGAAACGCGTTACTACTTCTAAATGCTGGGAAACTTCCATAGAGTTTTATATCTTTTGATTGATGTGAGGGTAAAAATGTGAAATTTAAGGTTCACTGATCATTATATACATAGTAGAAAACTCTAACTAGTCGAACTGCAAATTTACAAGTCTCTAATCATTGTATACGAGCTACATTCAGTTTTCATTTTGATTTGATATATGAGATTAAAATAGTAATAACTTTAAATCAATGAAAATCACAATCTATCATGAACAGGGCATTATAATTCTAATTCACAAATTCATATGACGAAACTAATATTAAAATAAATAAGCTAGTGCACTTGAATTCTCGAAGCTTCACTGAACCAGTTCTTCTTAAAAAAAAATAAAATATTCATAATCTTCTCTCACGTATGATTGCAACTAAATTGGAGCTCTACTATATGCTATAAAAATTAAACTCCTTTTCTCTAAAATGAAAATAAAAAATAGAGAAAATGATAATTAGGTCCCAAAAAAAAGAATTATTGACAGTTAGGCTTCTAACAAAAAATTTATAAAATAAATTATAAATATCAATTTAAACAGTTGTAAATAGAAATTTTTGCTATAGTCTAAAAATTACATTTGATATTTAAATGTTCATTTGTAGTTGAAACTCCTGCATTTATAATAATTCGGATTAATATTTTTAACTTACTTTTCAAAAAATTTGTCAACGACTTGCTTGATATCAATTCAGTATTTTGAGATCTACCTGTTATTCTCCCAAAAAAAAAAAAAATCCAAGTATTTGGAAATTGGAGCAAGTTGACAGTAACCAATTTCATTTCGATAACCAAGAGGGAGAAACGAAGGGGCTTGAATATTCAAAAGGGGTGAGGAGGGAACACACTACGATGGGTTTGTCTGTCATCATTCACAAAAAAAGTGAAAGTTAGCAATCCACTGAGAGAATCAATTAAACAAAGATTGAAACACCAAAGACCATATAAGAAATATAATCGACTTCAGAATGGAGTGATCAGTAAAAGATCAAAATAAAGCCTCATTCACAAACATATCGTTTCTTTTGATAAGACTACATTTTGTATCTTCATTTAATGGTCAGTAACAACAATAACGTATATTGCTAGTAGGTTCTCTTGGTGTCCAAGCTTGATTCAAAATGAAGGGATAAATCGCAGTACTAGAAGAATAATAAAAAATTGAAAACATCATGAAGGGTAGAGGAAACGTTTTTGTTAATGAATTGGTTTTGTAGACGCACAAAAGCACACATATGCGCCGACACATTGATATATACCAAACTTTGAAAAATTGAAGGTGTAAAGATCAAAGAGTTGACACATATCTTTCAAAGACCAGTAAGGATATCCTCTTTTTATAATTCCTTTTGCCATTTCCCTCGTCGCAGATATATCCTGCTTTACCCGTTGCTTGCCATAAGGCAGAGCCAGTATGAGATAGATAGAAGTCCTTCCGCTGGATTTAATAAATAAATAAATAAATAAATACATATTATGCATTCAGAAGGAGATAAAGAGAAAGTTCAGCGTAAATTAACAGGCAAAAAAGGAGAGAGGGGTTGGGGGAGAATAGACCCACCCTCTCAACTTTTCACTCTTTTACGTTACTCTTAGATATTTGATGCATTAGTTTAGAAGACCTAAATCAACCATAAATGATATATGCTGATATGCAAAAAGTAGGTGATCTGGAATAGCTAAGAAACACGCACCAACCGTGCTGTACAAATAAAGTGAGGTATGCTGGAGTAACTAGAAATCTTGCAGTATCTCAAATTCAAAGTCTGAATCAAAGAAAATGCAGCCACATTTACAAACAATGATCCTAGTAAAGCCATTTATTAACATTATTATTAGGAAACCATGTATGCACTTCAGGCCCCCAAAAAAGGAAGAGAACCATGTATGCACATTTGACAACCATAACAGAAAATGTGTTCTCAATCATCAATCTTCTCTTCCTTTGCATCACCTAATACCTACCAGAACCAGCAAAAACTTACAGAGGATGATGAACACTTCTCAATTGTCAATGACTAGATTTTTAGATTCATCATCAAGATAGTGAAATAATGCATACTTTCCGCAAAGATGCATACTTATAAATAAACTCGGGCTCAACTGCATGTTTCTTCAAAGTTTAAAAGAACAAAACCTGAGAAATTGATAGATTAATCTTCTAGCATTAAATATGCGTCCCATGACATGTTAGTGGATTCTGCTACAATTTTTTAACCCACGTTGCGGGGCTTCCTTGGAGGAATTAATGTTATACCTGGTTTACTTTCTCCTGTTGTTATCATCCATTCTTTGATTGAATCAATCAGCATCACTGTGGGTTAAGATGGCCTCAACTCTATCAAGTGATGCTTGTAATCGTCCTGAGTCCATCTTTAACATTGGTTCACCAGTTCCCAGAGCTCTGTTTGAAATTGATCTCAGAGTCATATTTGCAGATGATATGCGAATACATCTCAGATTTTAAACATGTTAGCATTTCCTCAAAAAGAGTAAAAAGAATATAAAACTTGCCCAGTAAGTTCTGGAAGAACATAATCTGCCCTCCATCCAAACCGTAAATCAAATCCAGGAAACAAGCCAAGAGTTGTCTTATTTCGAATCCGAGAGACACCATCTCCACCTAAACAAGTCGTGAGCTTCCATTTCCACCCAGTAGCATGCATCTGAAAATTGTGCCCCACACCAACCTGCACTTTTCATCTCGGTTAAAACACTCAAACAAAATTATGAAGCAATCAACATTATTGTGATGCACTACAGTTGAATTCAATAGATACTCTACTTGCACATCCAATGTTATATTTAAAATTATGCGTAGACATATATTTCAACAGTCAACATGGACAAAAGTCAAGAAAAGGAATGAATTTATTCATCATCAAACCTGGAGATTCAGAAATTTGGTTATTGGGATCTTTTTCGAGAGAAGGCGAACATCATGATGAATAGGCTCATAAATAAATTTCCACTTCCATTCAGGTGTCAAAGGCTTAAATACAAGCTTTGCTTGATATTCATTGCATGGAGCATTGTAGAACTGCACCACAATAATATCTCAACAAATTAGAAACTAACAAGCACTATAAGATTCACTAGTCACTAGAAGCTCCAAATCATAAGCAGAAATGCCGAAAAGGTCTAACTAAACCTTAGGCACTGAAGGGGGGAAAAACAGAAGATGCATGTGGTGTAGTTCAAATAAATTCAAACCTCAATAAGAAAAGGTGAAAAACTACGCTAGTGTATATAAACAAGAACTATTGCCAACAGCAGAGTGGTTATCCAAATAACCATGGTGTCAAACAAAATCAATGACTTGAAAAACAGAGTTTTACAGTCCCGCCCCAGCTGTGTTATTTTTTGTCCATGACTAAACAAATTATAAGAACTTCTTTTGTTTATCCTTATTATTATCCACCACTTTTCCCAGATTTTTATAGCAAACACGGTCCAAAATTACATAACCCTGGTGTCTAAACGTGTAAACTCAATAAAATCTTTAGCATCTCATTCAATATACATTAGGATAAGAAATTATAGTGCAAATGTGTTCCGCAACACCATGAATGTTCCCAGCAAACAAATAACAAACAAAGAAATTCAGATATTCAATGTCGCAAAAGAAAAGCAAGTCCATATTTCTAGCAAAAGAAGAACAATCCTTAGCGCAATACCGTATGAAAAAGTAGTAACAAACTCATTCACACCAAGAAACCTTTTTACATTGAACCAGAAACGGGAATAAGTGAGCGCTTGACTGCGTGATTATGCATAGTTCCAGCTTCAGTGGAATTTTTAATGTCAAACGAAACATTAAATCACTCGCAATTGAAGTTGAATCGACTATAAAAATAAACCCGAGACCATCCGATAACTGAGAAGTTCCTATTACCTCCATATTAAGACCAACTCGAAGACCTTGTATCTCCTTCCGGAACTTGAAGAAGAACTCCGACGGCATCAAATTGATATTATATAGCTCATCCCAAGAAGTGGGTTCTTCCCCGCTCGAGCCCGATTCCATATTGAACAGTTAGAGCTGCAAAATTAACTCAATATAAAGCCAATTTATCTCAGATGAAAAATCAGAAGTTTGATTCTTGTTGTACGTACTTCTGGCTTTGAACTTATTATCAGAAGGGAAAAAAGTATGATGTTTTTCACGATATCTGCGGCTTCCGCACAGAGACGCCCGGCCCGGCGCTTTACGCTTTTCAGTCTCCACTAATCGACCGATTGTTAAAAAAAGGGAGCACAAGAGAATTTCTTTAATTGTTAATTATCGGTTCAACCGTTTTTTTTTTTTTTTGCCAACATTAATTATTAAGAGTTTATTTATTTTAAAAAAAGAAAAATAAGTAAACTTTAAATTTTAAGAAAAGTATAATTTCTAGTCTTTAAATTTTTATTCAATTGTTAATTCTAATATCTTAATTTTGACTTAATAATTTAATTTTTATAGTTTATTGATTCAAAGCACGTAAATCTTCATAATTTTTTAATTCAAAATAAACCAATCCCTATAATTCTATAGCTAAACAAAATACAAAGTTATTTTAACTCAGTTTAAAAACTGAATTAATAATTGTGAGAAAAATTATAATCATCCTAAACTTTAAAACTTAAAATTATTAGGTCTATGATTAAATTACTAAAAATTACCCCTATAAGAAATGAATATTAACCTTACAAGATAGGATTTGAATTTGTAATTATACTAATACAGGCAATGAGTGCTTGTATTACCTAAAGTGTTAAAATCAAAATTAATGATTTTAAATTCATATTCTATTTAAGATAATGAATAAGTGAGTTTATCTAAACTGTTGATATAAATTTTAACAACTCAAATAATATAGACACTTACAATCTGAATCTACATCCTAAAAAGTTCCCCAAAAGCATTTCCTTTTCCCCTCTTCACCAAAGAGAAGCAAGCACGAGATGTCTACAGGTTCCACCTTGCACACCCAAAATGAACACTCCCTAACATGCAATAGGCTTTAGCATGTAACTAATTATTCTTGAAAACGCTTTCCCGGGGGTAAATTATCAATCCAAATTCATCTTGAATTGAATAATCAATCACCTGATGTGATGATTACCTTGTAATAGGCACAAATTTCCTTGAACCGATCCCCACCGGAGGATTTCTCAAATATATTCCATTTAATTTAACACAATCATTAGGTTCCAACGAGCAAAAGAAAGAAAATGCTCAGGTATATTTCATAACATGGTAATCCTTAGTATACATACAAGCCTCTGCAATCAAGACAGAAGGAGTCGCTCTGATAATACATACTGCATAACCGAAATATGACTGAATTAGAAAAACCCCCGTTATAAACTGACATTATAAGTAAAACTCAGTCAAAATTTCAGCGTATTTTGTTGCCTTTGTCTCCACTACAAATTGCCAAGCCAGATAAATCATGAGCCTCAGAAGCAACGGACTGCAGGTCAGACCAGGAGTATGATCTCCAAGGAGAGGTTTTAGGAGGGCAAGGTCTTGACACATTGGCCGGTAACTTTTTTGCCTGGGGGTGCAAAGGCGGAAGACAGGAAGGAGGTGATATTGACGTTGAGGTCCCCTCCTCGCTATTACTACTGCTACTGGAGCTACTCAAAGCGACAGTTGATGTTCCTCGACCGAGGTTAACTGATCGCTTTGATATTTCTCCAACATTAGATGCGTAACTGCGGCTCCTGTTCATAAATGTGTTATGAGCTAATAAATTCTTGCGTTTCTTAGCATAAGGGTCCTCTGGTTTTACTATGTCTTGGATAGAAGATGCAGATGTGGCATCCGATAAGCTTGTGAAGGACTTGGACTTGCCACTGTAAAACTTGGAAATGCCTTTCCTGGATAACACCAAAAATGAAACAGTTTATATGAATTTTGATGCATAAAAAAAAGCTCACATTTATTGCAGCTGGAGTTAATATTTTTTTCAGATATGGCAAATGTTAGCTTCTTCAATGAACATATTTCCTGCCAGAAGATATAATCTGTGGTATTGTGAATAATTTGTGGATTAACACACAAAGGAGAAACAAATAATGTCCTAAATCGCTGAGGGAAATTTTATTATTTCACAACGTAACATTAAAGAATTGGCGTCATCAAGCCAAAGCATGAATAAAGAAGGGGGTAAATGGGGAAAAAATGAGACGACCATAGTTGGTGAAAGACTGCAAGCATCTTACAAAGGCTTAAGTGTTACAGCGAGCTGGCAATATTGTTAGCTTGCAGCAAAAGCAAGCTCATACTTGATTTTTCCTAGACATGGAAGGAGATCAATTTAATTTAAGAAAAAGGTAAGTTTTTATGATTCTACTCAAGAATGCCCCAAAATAGAAATTAATACTGAATGTTTGAAGTTTCAGTTTCTTGGTCAACTTGGACAAGACTTGCAAGAAGTCCTGAAAGTATTTGCCACCAGATCCCACTATATTACATACACGTTGGAGGATTTATTACCCCCAATACATAATCATGTAATGCTGTGCAGTAAAAATCTATGAACGTAGTAATAGATACACAGTGGAGGATTTTTTATTTCTTATTTTTGTTCAGAAAGTATCCCATCACGTAACACCGTGCAGCAAAAACATATAAAATTTCTGCAACAAACACCAAAAAACGCACATGAGTATTGTCAGATCAACGTTGAGATTAACTAGCACATCCCCTGTGTAATGCACGGGGGCTTGAAAGATTTGTGACAGGAGCACGTCATTCTTCTCAGTGACAGGTATAGAAGCTTGGAAACCTTCTTTCCAAATAAGGATTTCTAAAACGGGCAGAAAATATCATGTCTCCAAGACATGGCATTTAGCCATTTAATCTAATTCAACCGAAGCTACATCCAACCCCTGCATCAACATATCAACATCGAGAGAAACAGAAATCTGCATGGATTTTTATCTCTCTGCATTTATACAACTTAAAAGTCTTAAAACCTTGAGAGAAACAGATTCACAACATAAATTTTGGCTGAACTGCAGATAACCTACTCCCACTTAGGCTTTGTTTGGTTGAGGGGAGGGGAGGGGAGGGGAAATTTTTTAAAATTTTACCTCCCCTCCAACCAAACACTACCTTAGGGGCTTCTGTAATCCAAAACTCTGAGCTTCAGAAGTAGACAATTGACCGGCCAAACTTCCAAGTTCATACAATTTACCCACTATGTTAGCAAAACCATTAAATCGATAAACAAAGTTAGCTCGTGTTAGGTGAAACATGTCACATCACCACTCCATTGTTAACATGACATCTGAGCAAGCAAATCAAATACGACAAAAGAGCATTTTGGTTTCTTCTCCTACCCTTTTCCCAACACCCAATGGGGTAGCATTCTAATTTTGCAAACATGAAAATTACCCAGTCTTTCATCCCTTTACTCAACCATACAAATCACAGGCCTCCTCCTCCTCCTCTGCTTTTTGTTCTTGATCTATTTCTTTTCTTCTAAAATAATAGATAAAATAAAAGGAAAAGAAAAAGATGGATGTGGAGATAATTTCTACTCAATGCGGAGTAGGGGGGAAGAAAGAAATGGTGGGGATGTATCTGCAACAAAAAGGGGAAATTGTCTCGCTCTTTCCTTCTAAGAGAGAATGAGTTTGAATCCTTACTTTCATTCTCCATTTCCGGAATCCTAGATAATTAGTAGCGACATCAATTAAATGGGAAATTAATAGCCGGCCAAGAAGGGTGAGAAACCATCCCCAAAAGCTTATGCTAAATGGAAAATGGAATAAGTATCCTATGCTACTCAATTTATGAGTTAGGCATGCATTGTGATGGTCCGTATGGCTGCCCTTCGAAAGAAGATAAAATAAAAGACAGGTGAATGGAACGTTTCCACCTGTTAAAGAACCATGGTTCATCAGTAATGCATTTTTTTCTGGGACTGAACCAGTGATGCGTTGAAGGCACAATAAAAAAATTATTCAGACATGCTCTCATCTATAAAACAACTATAACTTTATTAATCCATGTCAAATCGGATAACTGCAGCAAATTTGTTACATAGCTAAAACCATAGACTACACAAGTTGAGAACACGCGGTTTACACAGTTGAGTAGATGTTAAGACCAAGAGAAGACAAGAAGAATGGTACCAAAAAAAGGGGTGTTAAAACAAAGGCATACAAAAACAACAGACACCTCAAACTAATCGATTGGATCGCCCGTCTTTTCTATTCACTTACAGCATGACAATAACAAAGAAATGAATGAAGACAAATCTAACCAATAAGGGTTTGTCAAACGAAAGTGAACCTGGAAGAAATGAAAAGTGAAAGCGTTAAGGACATGTATACAAGCTTTTTTTTTTTTTTTGTCCTCGTCGACTTTCATTCCAAGAACTCGAATTCATTGAGAATCAAGGGAAAATCAATATAAGGTAAACTACTAAAACGGTACCAAATACATCGATTACTAAGCCATTGAATAGGCAACAATTTACACACAAATTCAATGATACAATAGAAACGCACTATTATTACTAGCTAGAAGGACAGGACACCAGAACGTAACTGAATCACAGAAGAGTAAATACACTAAAGAACTTACTTGCCAGGCAAACCCTCCTCTAAAGTAATCACGGTTTCCAAAGGTCCCTTAAACAAGCTCTGCACCTCGACCTCACCGGAGTCTTCACGATCGGAAGAATCTCTCGAAGAGTCACTATTCCTCCCGATCGAAGACAAGCTACTGGAATCGGAATCGTCGTCACGCTCAGGGTAGAAGCTCCGATCGCGAATCGAATTGCAGGGCTCACCATGGATGAAGTCAGATCTTGAGATTGTAACGCTCTCATTGGGTCGCAGAGCTATCGGCATAGTTAGGGAATCTGAGAGGACAACGCAAGGAATGTGGCGCTAAAAGGGATCAATCAGACAGCATTGAAGACGGACGCGAATGGATTGAGGTGTTATATATATATATAACCGGAGGCAGCACATGGCAACAGATATTTCCCTTTACCCTGTTCCAACCAACACAGGATAAAGTTTACAAAGGGATTTAATCCATCAATATTGATATGTAATTGTTACTAAAAAATAGTTAATTCATTAATTTTGTTAGAAGAAAGAATAAACTTTTAATTTTATTTATATTTATATTTAAATAAAATAAATAAATTTGTATTACATCCCTCTTATAGTTAATAAATTTGAATAAGGATAATATTAAAAAAATTGTAATTAATGACTATTAATTCTTTTAAAATGTACTTTATAACAAGAAAAGAGGGTATTTCTTTGCTAATAACAATATTATTATTAATTCAACATAAAATTTATAAGAGATGATATTATACTCTTGCTTTGCACATAAATTAAGTCATATTATTTATTTACAATTTATAAATAGTATAGCTAATTACATATGTTTATACTTCTATTATATTAGTTTATACTTCTATTATATAAAAAATAGACATGAATATTATTATTATTATCTGACATATTTTAAAATTTCATACAATGATGCTTATGTTTGGGAATCCATGGTTTTAGTAATTTTTATGACAAAACTGAGTTCACGTTGCTTAATTAAAAACGTTAGTCGTATTTTGAATAAGACACTAAGATAAGAAGCAGCTATCTCCGAGTAATAAAAAAAAAAATAAAATGTTGAGTGTTTGAGGGAAGGAAGGAGGATGGGTGGCGTAAATAAATGACCTTATCCTGATTGAACAATGGTGAAAGAGGAAAGTAAAGAAGATTATCCGATTGCAAATATATATAAAATATATGATATTCCAATTCATGTTCAAATTCTTTCTGGTGAATGAGAAGGGATCCGATGTTTCTAGTTTGTCCCGGAAATCGTTTGACTGCCATCCGCCACGTGAATGGTTTTATTTTTAGCAAATTCAAATTCATCTCCCACTCTAATTTACACATGCACATGTAGGGACAATTGACGATTCTGAAAAGAAACTCATTTAAAAACAAACAAAAAAAAAACACGCATTTTTCAATGAAGTAAACATAATAATATCTCAGATTTACTTGTTTTTAATATAAATCTATGAGCCTGAGTTATAATTTGTTCACCTATGCAAAGAAATTGATTAATTTTTGGTACTAACATAAGCCGTTTTTTTTGAAAGGTTCAATCTTTGCTAGTAGAGATATTTACGTTTAATATCCTAACTTGCATTATATTTTAACTAAGATTGTTTGATAAAAAAAAAATATGCAAGCCAGTGGTGGAATTAGAATTTTAGATTGGGAGCAATTTATTTGGTACAAAGTTTTAACAGTGATTTAATTTGGATTATATTTGAGTGAATTCAAAAAATAGATGAGTAGAGGCAGAATGTTAAATTTATCATTTACATTTATGTAATTATTTTCATTTCAACCACACTAGCCCCAAGTAGGATTGTCCCTTGTGAGCTATAAAAGAAATTAATTTCTTATAATAAATTATAATTTGCTCAGATAATTTTTAAGCACGCGGATACCACACTCCACACACGGTTGGGATTTTATTGAGTAGAGTACCTTTTACTTTTTTTTTTTGAAAAATATATTAAATTGCACTTATCTTCTTTTAAAATTTTATTTTAAATTTGCAATATCCATTCAATAGGTCCTATTTTACCTTAATAGGATTTGCATCTATGGAGTATTCGGCAATGAACTTCAACCTTAATTAAGAATGAGTGTTATACAATTTTATAGCAAAACACAAAAAGAAAATAAGATGAGTTTGGTTTTGGACTAATCAAGCTACAACATATTTTCAAATTCGATAACTTTATCAATAATGATGCTCCATTTCCCCATTTTCTAAAAATAAATGAGGCGATGGGTGCATCATTATTTGGTATAAAATGTGGTAGGAGAAAGACAAGAAAGAAGACAGTTAAACATAGAAGGAAACAAGGAACTTATTAAAAACAAAAACAAAAACAATTTACTAATATCAATCTTAATTTTTTATTACTAGCTGTCTATGTTAAGTTTAAGCATTGAGGAGGTATTTAACAGTTAAAAGGTGTGCAGATAAAATTATATTAAGAACTATCTATAAAACCTTAAACCTGTCACCAGAAATCACCAGAGCATTATGAGGAAATATTCTAAAAATTCTAATAATATTTAAATGCATAATATTGAAAATATAGACAATTCAAATATCACCATAATTAAAATAAAATATCAGTAAACATTCAATCAATCTTAAGGGCTATTCTTTTCTTTTACTATTTTCTCACCTCTCCTCCATCTTATTTAACCAAACGAGAGGAGTACATTTCCCTTTTTATGAATCTCTCAAATCTCACACAATGTGTACATATCTCCTTGTCAGTACTCTTGATACTCAAATTAGTAATACTTCTTTAACAACAGTATCATGTTCCATTCTAATAGAGTTTCCACAAATTACAAACCAATTGGTCAAAATCAAAGTTGCATCAAAAACAGGAGGAAAGATTTTAATGAAATGATAATAGAAAAAGGGGACTCAAAAGAGATAGAGGATTGGGATTGGCTTTTATAAATTCTGTTTGGCAAGTGAAAAAAAAATGTCATGGTATTTAATATATATATATATATATATATTTTTGGTAGGTGTATTTGAAATGATAAAAAAAGATGATATAAAGTGAAGAATGAAAAGAGCCTCGTGATCTAAAATCAATTGCTTCTATTTCTGTTTTCCTCCTCATAACTAAAGATTCAATGATACCGGACGGGTTTTTAGAGTAAGGAATGAATGAGATTATAGATGAAGTTGAGTTGGCAACGTAGAAATGACCCTTGTGTATGAAAAAGAAATTAGTGAATATTTTATCATCAAGGATAATCTCTTGTATATTGTTAATGTATTTTCCTTGTTTCTATCATAATTCATTTTTTTGACAATATTATTCTTAAACTAGCCTTCCTAAAGAAAAAAGAAATATGCACACGCATGCATATGTGAATGCCATATTCCAACTCGTAACCTCTCTTAAAAGAAAGAGATAATGCTATTTCCAAGACAATTTTTTAAGCTTTTTTTTTGTTGAAAAAATTACCCTTAACCTAGTTTCTTTTCCATAAAAAAAGGAGACACTCATGCACACAAAAATATATCAACGATGGATTGAATCCAGAATCTTTTCCAAGCAAATGAGATGAAATTATTGTTAACTTTAATATCTCAATTTATATAAATTTAATAATAGCAAAGTGATGTACGTACTGAAGATTCATGACTAAATACGAAACCTCAATCACCTCAAGTATAAACTGATGCATAATCCACTGGACCCTTATAATTTGTAGAGAGTTTAAAGATAATGAAAAAAGTGAAACTATCATATGTTTGTTGTTGTCGACTAATTAGCTTATATAAATCAAATCAGTAATTGCTTTAATAAATTAAATTTATTAATTATCTCATATTATTCCTGACCCGATCAGTTAAGAGATAAACAATAATTGATGGCTAAAAAGTTGTAAGTTAAGCTCTATTTATTGGGCTCACTTGTGTGATCCAACTATTATAATTCACACATAATTATAAGACTAATATATTTAAACTTATTAATTTATGTAAATTTATAAATAAATATTCTAACAATTGCTGCTAAAACATAACCATTTATAAGACAATTTTATAGGTGACCAACATAGTGATGCAAAAACATTCACATTTATAACCATTTATAAGACAATTTATGTTGAGCAACATGGTGATGCGAAAACATTTCACATCCCTGATCGTTCGTCTTTTCCTTTTTTTTCCCTCCCCTTATCAAAACCCAGTGTTGGAGATAACACGGGAATATATTCTCCATTTTGTCAGTTTGATAAAAAAGAATCAATGTTCAGACCGAACTTTTAGTGTTAATTTGTTAAAATTAAAAAAAAACAAAAGCTGATACGTTTGACTTGTTGATGTTCGAAGCGTAAAAGAGAACTTTTACTTTCATGGTGATATATTTTTTTGAAGAAAATTGGTATAATTTCTCCTATTTTACAATTTATCTAAATTGTTCACAAGATAAAAATTTATTACTATTAAATTTTAATGAAATTTATAATTTTATTTATATAGCAAAGAAAAGTTAGTAGTTTTTCATCCTTTTTTTGATATTAGATATAAAAAATATAAGGTATATTTGTTTTTAGGTTGGCATTAATGATTTTTTTTTTTTTAAATTCTTAATAAATAAACTAACAATCATTCACCTTTAAATGAGATATCATATTATAATAAGATAATACTCCTTCCAAGCCACAATATAAAAACTTTTTAGAAGTCTTCACTTAGTGCAAATATTTGTCATTTAGTAGGTATATATATATATATATATATATTAATTAATGAGTGCATTTTGAATAAGTTATTATTATATTTATTCCATTCAAGTATACAATTTAAAAGATATAATTTTTTTTAAAAGAATTAATATTTTAACTAATTTTTTACAATCTAAATTAATTAATAATGATTTATGTTATAATTCAAAAGGAATACAATTTAAAGAAAGTTAATTAATTCATTAGAGTATAGTAATTCAATTAAAACTATTTTATATTTTCTAATAGTATAATAGAAATTACTCCCTCCATTTTTAGATATAAGAAAAATATAATATGTCTTATTATTTTTTAGTAGAAGAAAAATTATAAATTTAACGAAGTATTATTATCGCTTGTAAGTAGATAGCATCATTAAATTAGATCAAAAACATAACCTATTTATTACAAAATATTTTAATCCCAACATATCAATTTCAAATATAATTATTAATATCGATGAATTTTTTCAAATCATATAAATTAATTAAAATTTTCTCGTACTCCACAATGACGGGAATACTTGAGGGGAGACAAGTCTCTCGGTTTTTTCCTAGAGGGGAAAGGAAAATAAAAAATGAAGAGACCCTTTTTTGAGAGGCGCACCTTAGA